ATCCCAGCTATTCGGGAGGCTGAGGCAGGAGAATCGCTTGAACCTGGGAGGTGGAGGTTGCATTGAGCCGTGAGCGCACCATTGTACTCCAGCCTGGGCAACAAGAGTGAAACTCTGTCTCAAAAAAAAAAAAGGCGAATTAAATGACTGGAGTCTATCAGCCTCCAAAGAGTTGAGAGAACTGTACCCAAATCCTCTTTCTACCACCAATTCACTGTGACCCTAGGTGAGGTACTCTGTGACACAAATTCTTCCACGCCACAGTATTTATGGGGCACTGCTTTGCACTGGAGACCCGTGTGCGTAAGACATACTGTCCCAGCCCCTTTCTTGGCCTCAGCTTCCTACCCACAAAATCATTCAGACCCTTCCCATTAAAAGGCTGTGGTTTAAGACATGAGTCCCTGCGGCCTGGAAAAGAGGGACCTGGGGATGTGTGAAAGCCTCCTCCAGAATGCTGAGGTATCACAGGGACCCAGAGCACAGAACCACTCTCAGTATCTGAGGTCTAGAGAAAAATGTATTAGCAATACCAAGAAAACTGTTTTCCATCTGCAATGTGCAGACCTCGGAAGTAATGTGACATGTGTTTTGTTCTCATCGTTTGGTTTTGGTTTGGTTTTGATCCCAGCTGAGAAGAGGATGGATTGATTGGAGGGAGAGACAGGAAGCAAAGACAGAGCCTGCTGTCTCCACCCGAGACATGATACAGGCCTGAAATAAGGAAACAGTAGTGGACGGCTGGACACGGTGGCTCACGCCTGTAATCTCAGCACTTTGGGAGGCGAGCGGGTGGAACACTTGAGGCCAGGAGTTCAAGACCAGCCTGGCTAACCCCATCTCTACCACGAATACAAAAATTAGCTGAGTGTGGTGGCAGGTGCCTGTAATCCCAGCTACATGGGAGGCTGAGGCAGGAGAAGCACTTGAAGCCGGGAGGCGGAGGTTGCAGTGAGCCGAGATTGCGCCACTGCACTCCTGCCTGGGTGACAGAGTGAGACCCTGTCTCAAAAAAAGAAAGAAAAAGACAACAGTAGTGGAGAAGGAAAGAAGTCAGAGACAGTAAAGCAAACAAAAGAAAGAAGAGGCAGGGAGGGGGGACACAGGAGTCAAGGGCGAGTTCTGAGTTTCTAGCTCAGGTGGCTGAGTGGTGCCATCGACTGATGGAGGTAACACGGGTGGAAGACCCAAGGATGGAAGAAGATGCGTCCAGTCTGGGACATGATAAGAAGGGCATATGCGATAACGAAGCAGAGATGCTGACATGTCAGCTGGACGCACCATCCCAGAGCCCAGGCGTGAGACCTCAGTGTCGTCAGAATATTTAACAGCGTTGCCTAATCTGAGGCCTAGGGACCGTCTCAGAGGGCTCGGAATGCCAACATTTATGTATGCACATGTGATCTTCTACATAGAGTAGTGTGTAGTCTTCAAGAGATTCTTTAGGGGATCCATGTCCTCAGAAAGGTCAAAAACCACTGAGACAGCTGGACGCCGACAACCAGGCTCACTAGTGTTGTTTTGTTTTTGTTTTTTGCAGACGGAGTCTCGCTCTGCCGCCCAGGCTGGGGTGCAGTGGCCGGATCTCAGCTCACTGCAAGCTCCGCCTCCTGGGTTCACGCCATTCTCCTGCCTCAGCCTCCCGAGTAGCTGGGACTACAGGCGCCGCCACCGCGCCCGGCTAGTTTTTTTGTCTTTTTTAGTAGAGACAGGGTTTCACCGTGTTAGCCAGGATGGTCTCGAACTCCTGACCTCGTGATCCGCCCTCCTTGGCCTCCCAAAGTGCTGGGATTACAGGCGTGAGCCACCGCGCCCAGCCTAGTGTTTTTGAAAGAGAAGCGTTTGCTTGCTGTGTACACTAGGGGGCGATGTAGGGCAAGCCGTGTGTGCTGTATCTGTATTACCCAAGTAGCTGGCTGGGAGGTTGGTTGGTTCTTGACTGTAATTAATTCCCTGCTGGAAACAGCTGTGCCTGCTTGTTAGGCCGGATTCCAGAGTATCTGAAAGTCTTATTTGGTCCTGCAGATGTCTATGAAACAGCTGACCAGGACTTGTGGAACCACGTTCTTCCCATATGGCAACTCTGGCCAGCTGGCCATCAGAATCACAAAACACACACAGCACTAGCTCCAGGGACAGCTTGTTTTCTTTTCTTTTTCCCCCGATCGGAGTCTTACTCTGTCGCCCAGGCTGGAGTGCAGTGGCGCGATCTCAGCTCACTGCACCCTCCGCCTCCCGAGTTTGAGCGATTCTCCTGCCTCAGCCTCCCCAGTAGCTGGGATTATAGGCGCGCACCACCATGCCCAGCTAGCTTTTGTATTTTTAGTAGAGACAGGGTTTCACCATGTTGGCCAGGCTGATCTCAAACGCGTGACCTCGTGATCCGCCCACCTCAGCCTCCCAAAGTGCTGGGATGACAGGTGTGAGCTGCTGTACCTGGCCTGGGAGGGCATTTTGAGACCACTGCATGTCCAAACCCAAACGCATGTGCTTGGCGACACCGACATTCTGGCATTCAGTGTGGTCCAACAGAACGTCTGCGGTGATGGAGACAGGCGGCATCTGGGCTGCCCAACACCACCAGCTACAGGCGGCCACCGAGTCTTTGAAGTGTGGCTATGTGACTGAGGGACAAAATGTTTCATTGTGTTTCACTGTAACTCATGTACATGCAAACAGCGACGTGTGCTGGACAGTGCAGTGCCGCATGCTTGGGCTGTGGGCCTCTTTCCTCCCTCCGCCTCCACTCTGTCAGCACATGCTATGGGCTGTCACTTCAAACTGTTACCCCCGTCATGGCTGGGACCTGTGTCTCAGCCCCCATCGCCTCTCACCTGAGTGGTTACAAAGGGAGCAGGGGCAGCCCCCGCGTCCACCTTTGCTCCTACAGTCTCTTCTCAGCTTGGCAGCAAGAAGGATCCTGCCCAGCTGCACGAGCGTGTCACTCCTCTGACTTCCCAGCTCACAGCAAAAGCCCTTCTGAGGCCTTAAGAAGCCCCATTGCCTCTTCCCCTCCCTCCCCCTCTGTCATTACTCCCCCGCCCCACTCCACTGCAGCCACTAGGTCCTCACCCTGCCCCCCACCCACCAGGCAGGCTCCCAACCCAGGGCACCTGCAGCTGCTCTTCCCTCACCCCCCGCCCCACTCCACTGCAGCCTAGTACTAGGTCCTCGTCCTGCCTCCTACCCACCAGACAGGCTCCCAATCCAGGGCACCTGCAGCTGCTCTTCCCTCAGACACCCACCCACATAGCTCGCTCCCCTACTTCCTCCAGTGTGTGCCAAAGTGTCAGCCTCCCTGACCACCCCATTGGAAACTTCAGCATCAGCCCCCACCCGGCACTCCCTCCCACCTTCCCTGTTTCTTCAACGTTCATCTCATCCACATACAATTTACCTGCTTACCATCTTCTCCCCCTGAGAGCACCAGGAGGGCAGGGATTTTTGTCTGTGTTGTCCACAGAGGTATCCCCAGCACCCAGAGTGCTTGGCACAAAGTGGGTGGTCCAGAAATATTTGATGGATTAATTGATTTGGCCAAGAGATGGGCCAGGAAAGAGGTGACCTCTAACCGAGGTAGAGGACATCCTCGCTGTGAAGAACACTGGGTTCTGAATATAGCATTGTCCAGGATGTCAAGAGACCCAGGCTCAAGTCCACCAAATGGCCTATGCAGGGCCCTTGGCGACTGAGTATGTTTCCTAATCTAGAAAGTGGGAAGACAGAGCTCCGTCTTGCCTCCCTCCTCGGGTAGCTGAGGACATCATGACATCATAAGTGCAGAAGCCGTGTGTGGGCCCCGGGAAGAGCGGAAGGGGTGTGCCGGGCATCCTGATGAGGATTCCCCAGGCAAGCGTCTGGGAGGAGGTTAATTGAGGAAACTGACAGCTGCATCCAACTCACTGAGAGACGGTGGTGGCCAACTGTAATTCTGCGACACACAACAGCTTATTCTTGCAGGCCTTCTCATAGGGCAGCTGTAACCAGACAGAGAGAGTCCCGATCAGCCCAGGCCCCGCCTTCGCCGGCAGCCCTGCCTCCGGCTCTTCTCCTTAGGACGCTTAGGGCTGTGCCTCCTGCTCCCCCTGAGAAGTACAGTTTCAGGGAGGTGAGGGGTGCAGGCTGGGATTGTCCCCAAAGAACAGGGACTGTGACATTCCTGGGTGACATTCCTGGATCTGTCCTATAACATGGGCACACTGTGACCCAGTCCTCTGGCCAAGGTGAAAACTGGGGTGACCTTCACGGAATGTTAGCTGTGCCCATTCCATTGACATCATGCGAATTAAGCAGCAATACACAACTCACGCCTTTGCGCATTTAGGGAGCAGACACCTACGCGAAGAGAAGCTTCCTTAGTCTTTTCGGGTGTAGGCAGGAATGGGGGATACCTAGCCAAATACTGTCAAGGTCCAGGCCTTGGAGGTTCTCTTCCTCATGGCTAGTCATCTGGTTTTTGTTTGTTTGTTTGTTTGTTTGTTTTCAGACGGAGTCTCGCTTTGTTGTCCAGGCTGGAGGGCAGTGGCGTGATCTCGGCTCATTGCAACCTCCGCCTCCTGGATTCAAGCGATTCCCCTGCCTCAGCCTCCCAAGTAGCTGGGATTACAGGCATGTGCCACCACACCTGGCTAATTTTGTTTTTTGTTTTTTGTTTTTTTTTTTTGAGACGGAGTCTCGCTCTGTCTCCCAGGCTGGAGTGCAG